AGAGTTACCAATGGAGTCTTTTCTACAAACAGCGGTAGCTCATTTAGCTGGCATAACTTGGGTGGCGGTAGAACAACCGGTTGGATGGAATTTCACGCATCCAGGAAGCTCCGGAAAACCTTCATCGCTATGAATCCAGCAGACTAACAGAATGTGTTGAGACGCCATCTGTGGCTCCTTCCTTCCAGTAAATCAGAACTTGTCCACTGCGAGAAACGTTTTGAAACCTTTTTGAGAACCACGACCACCATAGTGCCCAACTATCAGGGTGGGGCATAAATAGGGTGAAACGAACATTAACAAACGCTGCTTGACCGTGAATAGACTTCTGACTGGACCATCAGATCCGCCACTGTTTTCTACATATAACCTATGATTTCATGAGTTCATGATCTTTGCTTGGTCAATGGCTCCACTTAAGCCAGAACGAGTGAGATTTATTGTCTCGCGTTGCCGGGTGGGCCCTTTTCGTGACGTGCTGTATCCGACAGTCCGATGGCAGCACTGCTAGACCGTGATCCACACCTCAATTGAAGTTTAGATGGTCTTTCTCCTGAAGGTCGATTGGTTTCGGAAGCCCAAGGGTTGTGAATATTGACAAATAGCGTACCACCGCGTTTCAGTGAGGTTCACAATAAAACTTTCTACAGGTTTGAGAGTGCCAGGATAAACGATGAGCGGAGTTATGCATAGGAAACTGAAACTGCATGCTCATAAATACTATAAACGGAAAATTCTCTTGGATAAAGAAGGAAAAACAGAGTTAGAAAATATCGAGGGCTTCTGGCGCATGCCACGATCAGAGCACTTACACCGACAAGGGAATCACTGACATTTTTCATACGTGGTCATGTCCTTATTCGAGAAAACTCGGAACTAATTACCTCGATCTTCAAAGAAAAGGAGCGTCCGAAGAGCAGGAACGAAGTGGTCAAGGCGAGGCCTTATAAGGGAGGTCGTAAAGGGTGGCAAGCTTTTTTAATACGGCTTTTCATGCTCTGTAGGCTCTCACGTGGACTACAGAACTGAGGTTCAATTTTGCTGAGCCGCCCACTCACGATCAAAAAAAAAGGCTTAAAAATTCATCAAGGGTGCGTAGTCGTTAGTCTTTTGTGTGATGTGTCGGACTTCAAAAAGATTACCCTCAAATTGAAAGGTTGAGCGTCGTCGGCATCCATTGATCTTGCACTGGGTTGGTGGTCAAGTGGTTGCGCTATAGGCTCGAATTGGCATAAAGACTTTGGGGCTTGACTTAGCTCTATGCTCTCTCTTGCATTTGTTTTGTCACCTCAAATCGGCATCGAATGGCATCAGCGTCAAAATTAACGCTATATTCTCATTCAGAACAACCAGTACCCCTAGCAAATGCGGTTTACTACCAGAAACTGGTGGAATAAATTCGCTGCACCAAACTGGCACCAAATAGTGCCGGCGCTGAAAACAAAGGTCATATCCGTGATCAGAACCCTGATTTACACCCATAAGCAAGATTGCAGGGGAAATCGAAGTTTTGACGCGAACTCGAAAAAGTGGACTGGCCATGGTATTCAGCCCGTCATGTCGGCGGGCGACTTGAAGACGAATGCGGCGCTAAAAACAAGCGGTATAGCCCTTTGGTGTAAGTACACCAAAGCTCACTTCCGTGGAGAACATATCCCGTCGCGTAGCGGTTTGAAGTCGCTACACCTATAGGGAGGATGCCTGATGAGTGAAGGAGTTGACAATCCAATTTGCCATATGGGGACTAGAACCTGATGATAACATTCTTCCTCGTCCCTCACCCTTCAGGTCTGCCAACGTCCATTTCAAAACGGAATTCGAAAAGGATTATGAGGATCCTATCTTCAAGTCGCCCGCTGTGGTGTGTGCTAGGTACCACTCTGTCTCATTGATGGTAAATTTTTTGACGTCAAATTCTAGATTTTCTCGAAACTTCTGCACTAGACGGACTCTAGTGTTTTGGTACGAATATCACGCTCGCCTATGTACGAGGTTCCGATTTTAACCCTGATAGACGCGCCTGGCGTGGCAATTGCACCACCAAATTCAAACGCTTGCATTTCCGCTGAAACAGCATGGTTTTTCTAATCCTGCTAGAGGTTGCTTCAGTCAACCTTCCCCTTCCTAATTATGAGCTTAACCGGCCATTTCATTGTTTATTGCTGTTAGTATTACAAGTATTTGTGTACAAGTGCAACAATGAATGGGCGCTGACCCCCGCAACCGGCCAAGTAAGTGTGACTTTTCTTAAAATACTTGAAGTGGATCCATTCCTAAATCAAAATTATGGGTTATAATGTTATGCAAGATTATAAACTTTTTCGGCACAACTATGAAACTTCGAATTGTTTCGACATAAGCTTAAAAACTAAGAAGGTGGGCCAATTTTCAAAGCTTCTTAGTTTCTTTGTTTGTGATCGAATAGCTTCCAAATTTCGCCATAATGATACCTATATGCTCACAAGTAATAAACAATAGCTAGAAGAAAAATTTCTCCACGGGGAAAAATTCAGGTCCGAAAGGGTTAATCCACTTTGCGCGCTATTTCTTGCCGTTCTGGTGCTACAACTTTTTGCATCAGTTTTCGTTGAAAACCGTCATGTTTGGGTTACTGGTGGACCTGTTGATGGATAATACGTATTCTTGGCGATGATGCTGCTTGAACCTGTAAGCTCCAACATAGAATGCAAAAATGTCAAATTGTCATCAAGGGGCTTCAGACCATTTCCTACTCTTTATCCTTAAGGGGGTGCTCAGCGCTTAGGGACTCTACTAAATTACCCAAAGAGATATCATCAGGCATATAACAAGCTGTGCCTTGTTCAAATGTTGTATACTTCCGTAGCCCTATTTCATGACTTTTCAGGTGAAATGTGGATCGTTGGTTGCCAAAATGCATGTGGAATTGTTTCTCTGCCCAGGCATCCATCAACCGTGCATTGAGTTCGAAAGTTAGTTCTTTTCTTCAAATTCGCACGTACCACCTGATAGAAAAATCTGTATTTTAGAAGAAATGATTACGCCAAAGGAGTTCACAGTGAGAGCTAATAAAGACAAGCAGAAGGATTGGAAAGGCAGCATAAGAATAGGAAAATCGAACTTGAGGTAAAGCTAGAGTAATTTTGATTTGTTTTGTCGGCTTCTGCAGTGACAAACCAAAACCCGAAATAAAAGAACATAACTAGCTAAGTGTTGAATTTTCGACTTCAACCAGTAAAATTGACCTATTTCACGTAAGCTTCCACAATCCGTTTACACTGGGTGACTGACATAATTGTGGCCAGTGGTAGTCTTTAAAGTAAGGCTAAATTGGTAAGTACGTTGCTGAATCTGTATTCGTGATAGTGTGATGAGGGAACTGTCCGTTGGCCATTCACCGACGAGGGGGCTGTATTTGGCTTTACGTGGGTGTTGGTGTCATAGGGTCTTGCTCAGATTTTTTAGAGGTACTTTTGGAGACAGATGTTGGGTGAGGGTGTTGCGGAAGAGTGGAATGGAATCATTTGTTGTCGGGTTTTTCAACGAGTTTCCCGTTCTTGATGAAGACTCCAGAAACAATGGGTGAAGTTTAGGAGAGGGATCGTATCGAGACCTCCCTTAGAGGGGGAGGAGTCGTACAATTTCCGAAATTTCTTCCAACTCAGGCTGGCCCTGATCGTAACACTGCTCCACGACATGATAGAGCCTTGGTGATTTGCTATTAGTTATTCATTTACTGTTCACGCGTGCACCAAATGAAATACCAGAATTGCATCTTTCGATCCTCCATCTCTTGTGCTGTTTCACGGGTTGCAAGTGGTAATTTGTAGGCCACGACCAACAAACAAAAAACCAAGAAAACGGATTCCAAGACTTATAATGGTGAATTAGTCTGCAATGACTGCAAAAAGACAAGGAGAGCCGCAGGAAGATAGTTGTCGCACACTCTTTCCCTCTCGAGCAGTGGGCTTGGCGAGCGGCAAAATTTTGCCAAAGCTCTCGATAAAACACTTTTACTGGGCATGGGAAACCCTACCACGCCTACCGTAACTTACAGTCAATATCTCGAAGTCTGATTGGGCGTGTCACCGGAAATGACGTGGCAGCCACCGCACTTGATAGATGTTGTGTGGATAAAATACTCCGCCAGATATCAGCAAAGCGTGTTGGAAGCAGCTTATCCGCGCAACTTCTATCAAGTGCGGTGGCTGCCACGTCATTTCCGGTGACACGCCCAATCAGACTTCGAGATATCGACTGTACGCATACATTTTTTGGTTACCACTTGCTCGAATCAATGGTCCATAGCACGGCTGGCACATTATCTTGGAAAATTGAAGAAGTGCAAAAGTGAGCCGATGATTTGCTCAATCCAAAACCTACATAAATACTTCTACTACGTGAGTATCACCGTTTCGCCACAAATATAGGAAAATGTGGCAGCAAAGAGGGGAATATACCTGCGCCACACAATGATACTCTCATTCAAAACTTCCCTAAAAATTCACATTTCAAAATGTTTTATGAAAAGGCTCTGAAGTAGAAATGCGATGCGTGTAAATACAAATCTGAATATTAACACAAAGCTCAATATAGTTCAATACACAGAATATGATGCTGCGAGGAACCCTGATTGCTAACTGGCTGAGACAAGCGCCGTATCATAAGAGAATAATACAATCCCACCAAGTCGGACAGGGAAATCAAAACTTTTTCAGCAACAAGAGAGCTAATTCCTTAACGACGCATCTCGACGTGTTTTCCACAGCGTTCATGATAATTCATTTCTGGAAAAGAGTGCGGCATCTTTTGTGAAGGGGAACCGTGGCGAACAACGAGCTAATTTTCTCTGATAGATTTGCCAAGTCGAATGAAATAAGACACTATCTTCATCTGCGATGTTTGAGCATCCCTCTGCCTTTAAGGCCTGATGATCATGACCACCTGTGTTTATTAGTATTTAATTTGCCCATTCTATTAAAAACATCATTGCATGCTTATATGCTTAGATGGTTTGTCACAAGAAAAGCCATACAAACCATTCTCCCTTCGAGTTGTATTTCCTTACAATATTTCTTCCTAGAATTTGATAAAGATCAAGGGTTCCAAGACATGCAGTCAATTAGGAAGATTTAAACACTAACGTTCCTTGTCACTGGTTTTTCCTGTTGTTAACTGCTGTTTAACGCCGCAGTTCGCGTTGCGAATGTTTCACAAGAATGCTGGGTTGTGAACAAAACTTTCGCCCCAGGCGGGAAAGCTATGGTACGTATACCATGAAAAGCTGAGTTGGAATGAAATGGTGCCCCGGTAGCGTAACTGGTAGCGCACTTGCCCGGAAAGCGAGAGGTGCGGGTTCTAGTCCCGCCTGGGGCGAAAGTTTTGTTCACAACCCAGCATTCTTGTGAAGCAATGTCCATTATTTATTCAATTCAGTATTATTCCACTAATGAGTTTTGAACGCTACACCTATAAATCGTGATCGCTTTACAAGATGGTATGGAAATGAATGCAATAAGAAATAGCCCCACACTTATAGGTCAAATTTCGACGATGATCAGTTTATGCGCTGAAGAGGTTGTAATGGGGGAAATGTCCTAAATGCTAGCGATGGGAATTGTTCATGATTGAGCTCATGATTCAGTTCTCGAACTCGGTTTGGACATCGTCATCGTTTAATAACATTTCTTTCATTGTTTCGATGTGACTGGCGTTGTTGTCGGTTCAACAGCTTACAGTATGCTACAGTACACTGTGGTGTCGTCACTAAAGATGAGCGAATTTGTGGAAGAGCGATAATTCTTCACGAAACGCAACTTGCTACGGTACTGTGATTTTTGCAGATCGTTGATGGAAATGCATTCTTTTGACTTCTTCAACCATTCACACTTCTGTTCGGCAAAATGTCAGAGTCGCAATTACATCACACCGAAGGCAAGGGACTCCGATAAAGGAAGAAGGTGAGCAATTCCTGTAACCAATCTTGTATTAGAGTTCTTTATAACATCATGACCAAATGGGTAATTCATAGTTATTCCACTCAGTTGAACTCAATAGAGGGAAAATGCTTAACGGCGTCGAACAGGCATCTGGAAGCTTACTTTATATCGTCGCTATAATAGCTTATTTCCTTCTACACGGGATTCTTCGGGCTCACGGCGAATGATGGCATACATGTTACATGAGCCCGAGTCCCGTGATGAGGTAAGCAAACCAGTCCTTT